TTTTTTTGCCTGCCAATTCAGGACCCTGCTGGAGTCTGAACGCTGAAAACAACACCGAGAAGACTAAAGATGTATCAACAGAAACACTCGGGCGAGCAGACAACAATTCTGCCCCTTAAAGAAATATTGTCCTAGATAAAAAGGCTCCCTTTGTCATGACTTGTTTACATGGGCCATTTATAACTATGGCTTCTTTAACTATCCCCACCTTTCAGCCCGCTAGTATATATAAACCTTGCACTTAGTCCAGATTTGTCACAATCAAAGCACAAAGTGAACCTTGTTGTGTGTTTATAGGTTATGATTCATCTATGTGTGAATTTACATTTTCAGTCTGTAAGTGTGATTTAGAACATAAATTAAAATTGGAATGAATACTTTTTTCAATGGAGAGTTAGTAATACTGCAATCGATCAAGACACATGAAATTTGAGAACTGAACACTCAATTAACTTCAGGAGAAAATGGAGGAATCAAAACTGATTACAATTTACCAGAATCATCAGGGTTCAGTGAGCCACTGCATGTTTTATAACTGCCGTCATACTGCTTATTTCAATGTTTAAAAGAGGAAAACAAAATCAGGGTTTTGTGACTCATAGTGCAGAATAGGACTCAAGGTTAGGCAACATGTAAATATTCTATAGAACATAGATTTCTACATCATCATTAGCAAGACAAAAGTATGTTGAGGAATCATCTTGATAGTCCTTTCATTAACCCCCCCAAGGAGACATGCATTCGACTGTTGAGCAGACTCTTACCAGCTGCCTGTTAGCTCGCAAGATCTGAAGACATGCACAGCGTGAAGGCAGAAGGAAAAAAAGAGTAATCAACAAAAGATAGAAGAAAAAGACAAGCGAGCGATAGGAGTGAGTGCTTTCTGAAATACCAAACTTCAAACAGATAGAAAGATGGCAAAGATGATGAAAGATTTGATTTGATTTTAGTTTAATGTATGTAATGTATGTTTTGTATGCTACATGGATAGTTGAATTTCCCTCGGGATAACATAAACTAAACTAACTAACAAGGCTAACTAACGTAATAAACTAACTAACTAACTAACGGTAAGCTAATCTAACTAACTAAACTAACTAACTAACTTAACTATCTATCTATCTATCTATCTAAATCTATCTGAAATCTATCGTATCTATCTATCGTATCTATCAACCAGCAGGTAAAACAGGTTGTTGGGTGAGAGGGACCAAATACACAGAATATATGATGAGAAGAAAAGGTAAGATTACCAGACCTTACTCATTAACAAGTGAATGACATACATGCTGGCACAGTAATAGAGACGAAGAGACTGTATTAAAAGGCTATTCAACAAAATGACAGAATGAGGAAGATACAAATAAGAGGAGAGCAAAATTTAGAGGAGTCACTAAAGAAAGATCAGCAGGCAACCAGCCCCATCAATAACAATAACTCATCATAACATGCGTGCACACGCACACGCGCACACACACACACACACACACACACACACACTGGTGTTGTCCTCTAACCTACAATCCAAACGCAACATTTTCTTAATATGCTATGAAAAATGATCTCGGCAGGATTTCCTTTCTAGGGATTCTACTAGAGTATAAATACAGTACATCATGCGCACACAGCCAAGGACACACCTGTCCATTGCCCATAAGTGTAGTGTCTTCTCCCATCAGTATGTAGGATCCAAAGAAGAAGACAAAGGCGTGACAGAAGCCCAACAGAGTCCAGTACAGGAACGTCCGGAAAGACAGCAGAGAGTTCTTGCTGATGTCCCTGTTGGAAACAACCATTAAAAAAATCTTTCTGGATATTCTGCAGCAAAATACACCTTCATGTTTTATTGTAATGAACTAGTTAATAGTAGCAAATAATAAAAATCTTGTTTTGATCTGATCTAAAATGTTACATAAAATTCCTATTATCTGTATTTACTAAACAGCAGGTCAAACACTGTGCATGAAAGTAGTATTTAGAATTAGATTTCTTGGTTATTGAATTTATGGAAGACATACTGATTTTTAAAATACTATACATAAAAACTGACCAAAGCATCTTCCTGCAAACACTTAATACTAAACTACAGTTTGCACCTACAGATCACATGTAAATGTACCTGTACAGGCCAGGTTTATTCTGCAGTACGTGTGGATGGACCAGCTGTTCAAACAGACTGTAGACCAGGATGGGCAGGGAGGTGAAGCAGATGTTGTACAGTGTCAGATAAACACTGTCATACAGAGTCTAGGATGGAAAGAGACAACATTTCACTTATCACCAATTTATTAACTTAAATTGACATATCTAAGTCATCTAACCTGACGTAAACTAACCCGACTTCCAAGACAATGATCTTAATAACAGATTAAGCTTTAGTAACCGACTTAATGTTAATAAAAGTGTGATAAATCAGTTAACATAAGTTCTAAAGCTATGTTGAATAAATATTTGACAAGTTTAAATGCAAAATGTGAAAGCTTTTTTAATGATAAGCTTTAAGTAAAAGTCATTACTGAAACTCTATGTTCTTGCCTTTTGAGGCTTTTGAAACTTATAAATGCTACCAAATTAAAATTTTTAAAATCAATCTAGATATCAAACTGCTAGATATCAAAAAACAACTTTTCATGAATGCATTCTATGAAATCAATGAGAGACAGGGCGACATTAAAACCACAATCAAATCCACAATGACATATGAGAGAGTGTAGAGATGGAGCGATAAAGAGACTTACTTGTTGTGAAAACAGACAGAAGAACTGGTATAAAAACTGGGGCGTGATAAAACACACATTCTAGAAAAGACAGAATGAAGGAAAGAAACATTAAACTTGGCAGAGAAGGAGGTATGGTCAAAGGAAGTCTTGTTAGCAGCTGATGTCAAATCTAATTTCTGTAATAAAGAATGTAATCCATAAATGAATGAGTAACAGGGAGATTCCAAAAAAAATCTCTTAAATGACTGCATTTAAATTAAGAAATTAAGTGGGTGAGTCCCCCGGATTATTATAGCTATTCATTAAAGCTTGTGCAGGTAAGGTTGAAAAATATTTTGTAATCATAGCCAAGTCTTACCTTGTAGAAAAAGTACTGTACAAGCGTAGCTATTCGAATATAGTAGAAGTGACCGTGGACCAGCAGTAGTTTAGCCAGGAACTTAAACCTGGCAATTGCATAGTCACTGTTTCTCACGGCCTGACGACCCTCCTTCCCCATGATACCTGGAGACACACACAAACACATATTTGACACACTGCAAAATATGATGAAATATGATGTGTGTGTGTGTGTGTGTGATAAGTGTTTACCTATGCCCACGTGAGCTTCCTGTATCATACTGACATCATTGGCTCCATCCCCAATAGCTAGGGTGATGGGTTTCTCTGGAGATGTTTTTAAAAGACGCACCACCTGGACAGAACAAAGTGACATGAGTAAATTTCACCAATGAAATGATGCAGTGACCATTGAAAAAGTCATTTCAAATATGAGGGCAATGTATTTGGGTGGGGTGTGTGTGTGTGTGGGGGGGGCGGGGGTATGGCAGAGGACTGGTACCTTAGCTTTTTGCAGCGGGGCCATGCGGCAGCACAGCACAGCTGAACAGTTTTTACACACTTCCATAAAGAGCTTTTCGTGTTCCCTCAACGCTAAAGACAGACTGGCCCCATCCACGACTAACCCATGCTGTATGACATGATCCTCCTTTATCCTGGAGAACAATGGAGAGAGAATCAGAGAAGATTAGAATATGAGAGGAGATGGACAACCAACTACTACCATCTAATGCCATATAAGAGTTTACTGTCAGTCGATTCACGTTATTTCGTTATATAGATGTTTTGCTTCCTGTGCATTTGTCACAGATGCATTCAACTTTTAAATAATGAGTTTGTATTCTAAAGATTCATCACTTAGAACACTTTTAGGCTTTGACAACTTCACATTTTTTGTATATGTAAAGTATGTTGTAGGACATGGAACTAAGATGTTTAGGTTCAGTTTCAGAGCTAGACTATATAGTAAACACACATACAGCACTTTTACATAGGTTTTACTTTGGAAACTGTAGCAATTTCAGCCTGCCTACTTCTGATTTTCCTTGCAGAAACGCAGACAGGACAGTATTCAAATGTCTTATAAAATCCATCCAATATCCAATTAAAACAAACCCCTTTTTTCTAATAGTTAGAGACCTCCAATGTTCTCAGAATACAAGGCCTCAAAATGTATTTTAAGATACACTGTGCATTTTCTATTGACAAAAGAATCACACAGACACACTCACCTCCTGGCCAGTATGCGAAGCTGCTCAGCACACTCGTTATCAGAGCGTTGTTGCAGCAGCTCCAGGATGTTCATGGTTCTGTGGAAGTGGCCACAGGACAGGCTGACGCTGACTGCCGTCTCGTGTTTGTCCCCTGTGAGCACCCATACTTTGATCCCTGCCAGCCGAAGAGCCTCAATGGTCTCCTGGACTTTGTCTTGGAGTCTGAGAAAGACAAGGGAGAAAGAGAATATATATCATGTAATCGTGTTATGTGTTCTGTATATGCAAATTCACATACAGAATTATATGAAGTCAACCCACAGTGTACCATAAACCTAAAGAAAAATTAGTTTTAGACTTTTTTTGAGTGAGGTGACAAAGCAAGCTGGCATTTAAACCTGGTGTTTTGATTCTGTGGGCGTAACGTGAACACGCCCTGGATGCTCGCTAGTACAGTGTCTATAATTCAATACACCTATTGGCAATAAGTCTGCATTTCTTAAAGTTCCTTTTATCACCCAAGTGAAGTCCCTAAGTATGCACAAATCTGCTTCAAAATACAGAAGCAGTGTGCACAGTTGGCTTTATGTTATCCATGTCTTATGAATGAAGGAGGGTGAAAACTGGCTCTGACCATGGCGCAGCACTGATTCTTTTTTTGTTTTGTTCGAATATTCATCCTAGTTCTGACCACAGTTAATACTCCTAAAGAGGTTAATAGACAATGAATATGTTCAAATACTTCATGCCTATTGGCGTTATGCTATGAGCCTCAGAACAGAGGGAAATTGTATTCTTGTCTTCCATAATGGAGAAGATCCCTTGATTGTGACCATGTGTGCCTGAGGAGGAATTCATTCCAGATACAGAAACAGAGCAGTGGAGAGAAAAGAGAGAGACAGCAGCGAGATAAACAGAGTGGGAGAAGCGAGAGGCTTATGTGAGGAGCAGATGGTGAGCGGATGCAAACACATATCAACATTTATTTCCAGAGAGGCTCAGTGAGGTGACGTCTCTATCTTTCTGCTGACTATACATTGTGAGTTTTTTGGAGATTCTCCCGCCCACTCTCTCAATCTGTGTGTTTTTTGGCCACATGTTTCTGACTGTTTTATAATGCCCCAGTTTGGTTATCTATTCTTTACTTCTCTAGCTCTGAGTGACTCCCATCGTTACTGAGTGTATAGTCAAAAAGCTGACTGCTAAATTTTATAGTAACAAAACATTTTTACAAGACTGAAGAGTCTACAGCCAAGCTACTGGCTCTGTGAGGCAACATCTTGGCACAGCAGTGCTTTAAACTAAATGCTACTGTAAGGATGCTAACATGCTCACTAGGATAATGCAAACATGCTGATGTTTAAGTATGTTTTCCCTAACTTTTGCTAATTAGCACTTAACACAAAATCCAGCTGGGACTAATGGGAATGTCATTAGTTTTCAAGGTTTGGTCATAGAGCTGCTCCTTTGTGTTGAAAGGTGCTAGTTGAGGTGGTTCGGCCATCTGATAAGAATGCCTTCTAGGTGCCTTCCTTTGGAGGTTTTCCAGGCATGTCCAAATGGGAGGAGACCCCGGGATACACCCAGAACTGGCTGGATTATATATTTCATATATATTTCAACCCCTCTGATCTCCAGGGAAGAGCTGGAGGGTGATGCTGGGGAGTGCCCTACTTGACCTACTTGATCACTGCGTCCTAACCACAGATAACAGGACGATAATGGATGGATGGAACTCTTGACTTAGAATCAATTTCTTCCCATGTGTGCATGAGTTAATATAATATACATACAAATATATTAGAAGCGAGCAAAGAGGGTTACCTAAACACAGTCAACACTGCAATGTGCTAATGCTTTCTATATGTACATGAGGGGATGAGAACTACTTTTTAGAAGGGACAACACCAATATATTCCAATGTATTTGCTAAGTCTCCATACTTGTCCTCAACCCCCGTTGCTCCCAGCAGCTGCAGGTCTCTCTCGATGTAGCTGAAGGCCTCCTGCAGTCTCTCCTCCCTCTGCTGCAGCGCAGTGCGGGCAGCGTTCAGACGTCTGTCCACATCATCGTACTCCTCTGGGCTGAAGTGGCGACATGCTACCACCAAGGTCCGCAAACCTTTCTACAGTGGGAGGAGGAGGGAGGGTGATGGATAGAGATATAAAGGAGAAAGAGGTAAGATAAGAAACAATATATAGAAAGTAGAACATAAGAATTAAAGGAAGACAAATATATAATCATATTAAATAAGTTTGTGTCGAGAGGAAGGGTAAATGTGAGGAAGTCAAGAAAATGTGGAGAAGAAAAGAGAAGGAAAGGGAGATGAATGGAGGCATAGAGTGAAAGAACAGAAAACCAAATTATCAAAGCTTGGCTTTAAATCACGGAACCAGCCTGAGGGCTGGACGACCACAAATCAACCCAGTCCAGAGCACCGACTCCTGGGTACTGACGTCCGATGACATGATGTGGGGGCTAGATACGTGTGGATTTGTGTTTGTTTGTGTGTATGTGGCTGTTGTGGTGAAGAATTTACAGTCTAATGAGAACAGAGAGCGACAGAGCCAAAAGCAATCACTACAACGCTGGGAAATGCCAGGCGTACACACGCAGAGACACACAATTGTGAACATATGGATATTAGAAGGTTTCATTATAAGCTAAAGAGACATTTTTCTGTGAGGAAATTCCCTGAAGTAGCAAGTCTGGTATATTAAGTTTATTTAATGTGTCTCGAAGTCTCGAAGGGTCGACAATAACTAATAACAATACTTGTCTTTCGTGTAGGGAAAAGATGAAGATTGATAGTCATATTAACTCCACAGACTGTGTCACAGGTAGTTTGTGACTCAACACAAAATAAAGTGCATGTGATCTAAAAGAATAAGATATGTACTGTTGATCAAGTGCAGAGAATATACTGTGTCAGCATAACTCCTTTGAGTCCAGATTGTCTGCACATTCAGAGAAAATATTTTCTGACCACTACCCACAGAATGGATGCATAATACAGCTGTAATAGAACAAGGTGTTGGACAACATATTGAGACAACATATACATTTCAAAGACTTATGTAAAAATATTATTCTCACCAAGGCAAACTCGTCAACGTGCAGTCTCGTTTTTTCTATCTCACCACCGGTAGCGAAAGGCAAGATTGCCGACTCTGCACCCTTGGTGAACAGCACTGTGCCCCCTTGAAAGTCAAGTAAAACAAGAGGAAAATGTAGAAGATAAATATATACGAAAACTAAATATGACATACATTTCCTAATTTATGAAACATTTATCTCCACTCTGTCAAACCATTTTAATGTATTTTTATTTGCATGGATTTCTTGTGGTGTTAGCTTTTATAATTAGCCTTCATGATCAATTTGTCTTTTGTCAAGCTTTCATTGTTTGTTGCTGCAGTCAAAATTTTGTCAATAATGCTAAAAACACTGGTGCTTTAGTGTAAGGTGGAGTTACCTGAGGGTGTCTGTAGTATGACGCTCATCCTCCTGCGGTTGGCATCGAACTCCAACACATGGAGCAGTTTATATCTGAGAGAGCAGAGACACTCATATTAACTCACTTTGGTCTGTCCTGAACATTGCTTTTTCATAGGTAGCTTAAACAACCATTTTTTTCGTCTGCAGTCTAGATGTCTAATTTTCATTACATAGGTATTTGTCATTTAATTTGTCAGATGCACAGGGTTAAACGTACCTCTCTGACTTGCCAAATGTTTTAATTTCCATGGTATCTCCATTGCAGCAAGTGAAGGCTACTCCGATCCTGAGCAGAAAAAAAAAGAGCAGTCAAACCAGAAATCTGGACATTTTGACCTTTAAAGCACTGGTGAAAATCAAATTTGGAGGTTGGAAGGTGTCGAAGGTAATTGGGCTTTCACTAAAGATATGAAATGTAACTTTTGCTATAGCACTGGGCAAGCACAACAACAAGTGGGCACTGAGACTGTGTAGGCATCTCCAAGCGCACCTGCCATTTTGGCGCATTTATGTATGCAGCGGCGCAGTGAAAAGGGTCTGGGTGGGGTGAAATATAGATCAGAAGTGTGGTGATTGATAAATAATCTCTTAACCAGTCACATCACTGGTCTAATCGCTTTGTAACAGCTGTGCCGATCACAGTAAAGCACGACACCAACAGCTCAACAAATGAAAAGGTAAAAAAAATCATATTGTCATCTGGATTGTAAGTAAAATCGAACACACACGCATGAAAAATATGCAGCCGAAGGCCGATGGTGTGGATTTTCATTGAATGTGTACGGTGACAGAAATAAATGATAAAACAGAATTAATGAAGCTGTTTGCATTGCGTCAGTCACATGCTATTTATTTTACTGTATTTTATATTAAAAATAATTTCAAATCATAAAACAGCATTTGCACTAAAACGTGAAACGCCATTTTTGCTTTAAAAAAAAGGAGTTACTTTTAATTGCACTGCCATTGAGTTTATGCTGCGGTTACATTTTTAATGGGATTGCAAGAGGTCTTTTTTTAATGGGAGTGTTTTATTTCTGAGTGATTTATGATTTATGGTTCCTACTGTGTCTCCTTTCGGTTTAAATCAAAACAAATACACCGACTGCGGCTCAATGGAGCATGGAAGCATTGGGTCATGGGTGCAGCCACTGACTACTCCACATAAAAACTAAACTGGCCAGGATCACTCAGTTGTGCATCATGAAGTCTGACAATTTAGATGGGTGCTACACAGCCACATTTCTTAACTGTCAACCCTCCATTGTTTTCTTGTAGAACTGGAGGAGTTTTACAACTTCAAAATCTTTAACTACCCTTTACTAAACCGGTATAGAAGAATCAATTTTCCACAACTCCCTAGACATTAAATTTTGCCTGTACCTGTACTTTCTGTGACAATAAAATGGACAAGTGAGTAAGAAATAATGTCACATTGTATTTGACCTGCAGTCCAAGTGGCAGCCAGACACACAGTCAGCACAGGTAGTACAAGAAGAATATATAACATCATCACCATCAACATCCAGGATTTAGTGCAATGGTCAAGAAATGGCATTTACATTATGATCACACATCGTAATATACATTACTATCATAAGTTTTGTTTTCTTGCATCATTTGACCCCCCTGCACACAGACCATGACTGGAATGTACAAATTTCCTGAGCTGTAACAATCACAGACCCATGTACTGTGTAACACCACATTACATTGAACACAATGAACACAATTACAATGAATATTGGAGTTGTAGTCGCAGTTATGTTTCAGTGCTTTCAATTGGTTGTGAAATGCAACTGTTCCTAATCATGTGAGGCATGCGTCACATGGGGCTGTACTGTTGGCTGGTGGAAACAGCTGGGATGAAGGCTCAGAATCAGCTATCTTAGCTGGTTCTCACAGAAGAGAAGTCTACTGTGACCTCACCTCTTTGCTGCCTCTACTAAAGCTTTCTCATCCGGTGAAGAGGCGTAGTATTCCATGTGAGTGGAGGAGAAACCGTTCGCATGGGAGAATGGATCTCCTCCTCCAACCAGGCAGTCTGGCTGGTCATAGCTGATCTGAACCGTGTGACACAATGAGACCGCCTTGACGAATAACAATTCATCACCAATCTGGTTCGAGAGAAAACAGGGAAGGATGAAAGAGGAACAAACGGCATCAGATCTGACATACTATATGTCATTGTAAATATAAGAGATGTGATTCAGAGTCACTTCATCTGCAGAAAGCAGCCTCTAGCTGTAGCAGATAATGATGGGAAGGGGTGAAGAACACATAATGCACATACTGTATGTCTGCACGTTTTGTTCATACTCCAATTATCTATTGTTGATTACATGAACGGCTCGAGGAACAAAAGCCATCCCCAACATTTGAGGTTAATTTGTTCATGCTATGGTTTGCTATGGTTGTGCTTGTTTGACAGAAGCAGTGAGAAACATGTACATTTATAGTATGTGTATACAAATAGAATATGAATGTAATGCATATATATATATATATATATATATATATGTGAGTTACCAGGTGAGGCGTAGAACCATCTGGCGAATCGTCAGTCATTCCCTCAGGTATCAGTTTGCCATTAACTTCCCGGTACTTTGTTCCGTTAATTGAACACTCACGGAAATGCATCTCATTTTCAGTTAGCGTACCCGTCTTATCTGTGAACACATACTCCACCTAGGAAACAGAAACACACACATGCACACATAAGTTTAGTATTGTGTAGTTCAAGTTCCCTTTAATCCTACTTAAAAGGAACTTTTATGTGTTCACTGTGGACTAAAAGGGTAATTCTGGTATTTTTTAAAACCTGAGCTCTATTTTTATATATTCTAGGGTCTAAATAACTAATAGATACAACTAAGTTTGGAATTGGTGTACTAGATTGCGTAACTCGGCAATGGTGAAATGGGCTGTATCGGCTGCAATGTAATCCTTGGGGGCACGGACGTATGTCCACTAAAAGTGCTTGTTTTTGCCACTGACAGGCTCAGATTGTTATTGTCTGACAACATTTATGGAAAGGATCCCTACAGAGACAGACCTTTTCAGACAGCCCTTTCCGACGGGGAACTGAAGCGTTATATGCCTCTCTTGAAAGTCACTAGACTCTTCAGACCAGCAGTTCCCCACCGGAAAAGGCTGTCTGAAAAGGTCTATCTCTGTAGGGATCCTTTCCATAATGTTGTCAGACACGTCTACCAATCTGAGCAGTGTCAGTGTCACCTGTAAGTGGCAAAAACAAGCACCATTAGTGGACATACTCACAGGTGCATTTGCCCCGTTTTCCAGCTGAGAAAATCTACTGGACCAATTCCAGAGCTTTTTGTACCCATTAGTCATTTAGACCCCCAAAATATGTAAAACAATACAAAAACAGAAATGATATCTATGTATGTTTACTCCCTTGCTATGTGCATGTATTCCTGCACTTCTAATCCATACCTGTCCCAGCTCCTCATTGAGGTCAGAGGTGTTAACCTGAGCTTTCTGGTCACTCTCCTCATGGTAAAGGTCCAAATCCCAGCCAATGAAAAAGGAGCCCAGGAACTTCTGCATCTCCACAGTAACGTAGAGCGAGATCGGGATGATGAAGTTATAGAGGACCAGAAAGGCCAAGAAGTCTGAGATGAACTTCAAGATCTAAAGAAGGATGAGAGTAGATTTCATCAGAATGAGACACAAGAGGAAAGCAACACAATGGCACAAATTAGTAGTGAAACAAGATAGCAGGATGAACCAACCAACCAACTACACTGGTGACAAATCTCTTTATTTACATTTTTTCCAAGTCTGCACAAAATGATTTTGCACTTCATGTCACATTTTGAAGTTTCCATTCAGCCTTTGTAATGCAACTGATCATTTTAGAAGGTGGAAGAAAAGATTAAGATTGCAAAAAAAATGTGCTTAATACACATCTAAGCCGCACACAGAGTGATGGTGCTTCAGCACTGATCCTTCTAAATCAAAGCAGGCAGGGTAATTCATTCCCATTAAGGAGTTAATTACTTTATGTGACAGGAAAGGAGAGTGAGGGAGGGCCACAGACTGAAAATATCCAGTTATACAAAAGACAAGTTTATGACATATTAGATATGGATTTGAACTCTGACTAACTTACTTAACAAAATAAAGAAATCAAAGTTAAAAAATGCCTGGTGTCTAGCAGCAGATAGGACATGCAACAAAAATACTGTACCTGTCATGGAATAGAACAAATACAGTATTTTAGTAGTTGTGCTTTGTGGATTTAGATATTGTAATATTTAGGCCTTAAATTTTGAAGGACCGGTAGATTCCCTGGAGAGAGGAGATAGCAGTGATGTGGAGATGTGCAGTCACTAGTAGAGGGTATACAGTGTAACAGTGCCAGCAGGTTTCTGGAGCACCTGTTATACTAAATCTAAAAAACACAGCCATTAATTTGTTACTGGTATTCTTCTGTGTCTCTAGGGAGAAGGGAAGCGAGTGAACAACTGCGATTTTTATTCCCCTCTGTCACAATACATGGAGGCTGCTGTTCTCTCTGACTGATTAGTGTTGGCAGGTAGGCTGATAGGCCGGCAGACTGGCCCTGTGAAAGGCACTTCCTCTCATGCCTTGTCACATAATCTAGACACTAAAACCACCCTACCAGCACCCTTGTAGGACTCTGTATGTGTATACATGTGGATTCAAGCGTGGGCTCATTTTTAAATCTTCACTAACTTTCTCTATGAATAAATCTGCAGTAGAGAGAAAATATCCATTAATATTTGGCGAGGAGATGAAGTGGAAGGAAGTGGAATGTTGGCTAAAATCTTACCTCATCTTATCTCTGGGGCTGATAGCCTGCACCACTTACAAAATCAAATCAATAGGAATGCATTCTTGTGGTGCTTAATGGAAAGCTGACTAACCGGACTGCTGTTTCTCTCTTGTTCAGTCTTTTGGTTGTAGAAAGGCTCGTCCCATTTGTCCTCAGCCTGCCAGGCATACTTCAGGATGGTGCTGAGGATGGCCTCGAACAGCAAGATGCCCAGGTAGATGATTAGGAAGGTGTTCATGGACCTGACACAGGAAAATAATTCAAATTGAATGTTAAAGTAAGAATATCCCCAAACAGCAATATTTCTTTTACTCTGAGCGACAACAGAAAGAGCTCACTTCTCAACCGCAGAGCGTTTCTGGGACTTGCACTTATAGTTGAGGGCCATCTTGGACTCCATCCCTGTGTAAACTGCCACACCTGCAACAGCAAAGTTGGTTAACTTATTACACCAGGCTTGAAGATTAGACGACTAGACTATTGATCGACTTGTGCATGAAATCATGAGAAAATAAGACATAAAAATGATCCATGTATCTAGAGTAGATCATTGACTCTGGTTCAGCATGCCAAACTATGACAGACAAACAGGATACAAAGACACACTAGTGAAGCATTGGGGCACTCCTATAAAAGTCTTTTAAGATTCAGCCTACATAAACAGCCTTCAGTTAACATAATCAGACCTCAGCCATATGATAATGAGTGGCCTGTCCTACCCATAATGTCCACTGACATTCTTCTCGAGCCGCTAAATGTTGGCTTTCTTTAACTCTCAGTTCAACTCGAGACTTCCCTAGCTGCGTTCCTTTCAGGTAGAGGTTTTGCTTTTGCAGGACCTTTTTACTGTATTTTCATTCCAACTGTATTGACTCACCAAAAATCTCTTTGGTATTTTTCAACCTGGCTCCTCGTAGCAGCAAATTCTCTGGACCCAGCGGTCTGACATAAAAGCAAACAAAAATAACATAAATACAGACAAAGATGGATGTGGCTGTAGGATTTGGGTACAAACAAGACACAGTAGGACCTTGATATAAACTAAAACACTCAACAACAGTCTATGAGTCTCATACATCTTCTGTATGTGTAATTAATCATTTTCATTTAGCTGCAAATGTCTTGGTGGCATCGCAGCCCACTGCTGATTTAATATCTTTGACAGCTTCATCTTCTTAAACCAGTGGTTAGTAATTTTGTAACCCAGTGCTAAAAGCCTGCACATTGCATGAACAACTATTCACAAAGACATGCTTTCATGTTTCAACCAAGTAATAAGTAATAAGTAATTTGTCTGTAACTTGATACCATTACCTACATTAATCAGAACTTTATCCAAAGCCTGTCTTTTGGAGATGTCTGTCAAGTAGTGTCTTAGCTTGTCTAGCACTTATATAAATATTAATCTAATTATTAGTCAAAGCAGCTGGACTCTGGTCTCACCTTACTATCTCCTCTCCATGCTGAGTCACTGTAATCCGACCGACAAACCTAGAAAAAAACCAAAGCCATTTTAGTTGAGCGGTGTGATAGAGATAGTAACTGAGTTCACATGTAAACAGGAAACTGGGCTGTAAAAATCATGCAAATACAAGAAATCAAGATGGCAAGAAGGCTCTCCTGAACACAACTGTTCAGGAGAGGGAACCGGCATATTTAGTTTATTTTCATTTCAGTTGGATTTTTGATTACATTATTAGGAAAACAAGAATGCATTATGACAAGTACAGATCTTCCTTTTTATCCTGCTGCACTGCTGCCACAGCTATGCTTTCCCTATTTGGAGTGTTTGCCATGCACATGCACACATGTAATAATAATAACCCCATAGGAAACCTGGTAAAGTTTATAAAATCAGGTTCCTCCAGCAGATTTCTGACAAGCTTTAACTTAATCCCTTAAAGTGATTTAATATGATGTTGAAGAAATAAGATTACTGCAGAAAGCGGTCAAGAGCTGGGTTTGTTAAGTGCATTTAAATGCAGTGAGTGAGAGAGAGCGACAGTAACCAAGAGAGGAGGGAGGGCGTAAACTGCCACTGAAACAAACTGCCTGATCTAAAAATATACTGATCGATCCTGAAGTAGCCAGCTGAGACAGACAAGAGAAACAGGGGTTGTTAAAAGGTGATGAAGCCATCTCACCCCATCATCACACATTTAATAACACGTTTAATAACACATCTCGAACACGCATTAATCACAGTGGTTTTTAAAGTGGGTTCTGGAGACTTCAAGGGGTTCTTAGGCAATTCCAGAGAATCAAATCAGTCAAATTAATTATCTATACAGTGCGATAGTTAAACAATTGAAAATAAAAAGCTAGACCAAATAGAATAAACACAAAAGCTTCAGGAATGAGGATTTCAAAAGGCAGAATTTCTAATGTTCTAATATGTGTTTAGCTGGGTGTAGTTTTTTATTGTATGGGTTTATTGTATACGACTTCACACTGGAATTTGAGCTCGAACCATGAAGGTATCCACACACACAGATGCAGATTACCTGTATAGGTCAGCTTCCGGTTGTTGACACTCCACCACAGCCTGCAGAGCCTCCAGTTGGGACACCGATTGACACACTGCTGTCTCCGCCACAGAGTAGTGAGTCTACAAGCATACATACACAACACGCAAATACAGTTTAATGCTGATGGAAGGGAAGTATTATTTAACATTGGACAAAAACACTTAGTATAGTCATACATTGAGTCATTCATTCATAAAGAACTCATGAACTAACAGTTAGGACATAAAGCTTTATATCTATAAAAAGTTTGTGGCCTCAAGAACAAACCAAATATGTATGTGTGTATGTGTTTTACTGAATGTAACTTGTGTGTGTTTACACTCTACCAGTTGGCTTCTCCAGTTTTGACAACCAGGTTTGGTTCTGGATGTGAGGCTATCTTGTTTATCAAATGGTTGTTTGAGCTTCTACTGATTAATAGTAGTCTGTCCGTCTTCACACCACAGATATTCTCACATATACCCCTAAAGCCAACACAGTCCCACATGCAGACCTTAAGGTTGGTCTCTCCGTCGAGGCTGGCTGTCGTGATGTGACAGGTGCCATCTTCACGATCTGATGACAGCAACACCAGGTCAACTGGGAATGTCTCATCTTTAGCCACACGAACAATGTCCCCCACCTGGATGGGCAGGCAGAAACACACACACACATTCAAAAGGTCAAGGGCACTGTTTCCCAGTGAATGTTTGTTTGGTCACTTGTTCAACAAGCTAAGGTGCAGAACAAGACGTATGTTCATGTTTGTAAGTTAGATAAGAAGGCGACGTGGGTTGTTATTCAAAGTCTGTCTTGTGTTATGTTGCAGGCTCCTGTCTGGCTCAGTGTGGCCGTCTGCTCTGTAGAACGCTCTATCTAAGATTTGATTGGCTTAATGCAAAACTAGGAGGTGCCTTCACAAAGCCAAAAAAAATATAGAATACAAATGACTGCCTTTTGGTTCCTGGTTTCTATTTTTTTCTTTTCAAAAGGAGAACACAGGTGATTTGCAGAGGAGATATATGCATGCTGTAGCTGACAAAAAAAAAGCTTTAATTTCAGTTATACTTTTAATAAAATGTGCTCACTCCTGTAGGTCAACAATACTAAGTGTGCATGACAAGAGAGATAAATTAACTGTTTGAGTAAAGGACACACATCATTTAGGTAGCGTTGCATAGGCTCCAGACACACTACAGTGTCAGAGAAGCCTGACCTCAGAGGATTTGTGTGCACTGCAATGTTCTGAGTTACAGGCTTATTGAGGCAGCAAAAACTCCTCCTGCTGATGGGTGGGCTGTAAATATGCCAGTGGCTCAAAAAATGGTCATTATGGTGTATTAGGGGTATTCAGGAAAATGATGGCCTGCAAAGACAAATAATGCCAACCAGTCCAATACAGTTCAATAATACATACAAACATGAAACAAACAGGCATTTGTAGAGACTCGAGCTACTGCAACAAATGCATCATTCACAGAACATTCCAGTCGCACACAAGTCCCAGTTTCTTGCAATCCTGACATATGAAACAGTTCTCTTTTCATTGACAAAATGATCTTATGTTATCTTTCTATACAGACTAGCGCCACACAAACACCACTAGCACCAGGAATTTAACAGCTAAGCTTAAGTTAGTTATGGCTGTTGGCTATGCACCGTGAAAAGCTATATTTGAAAATGTCCAGTGTGTAACATTTAGGAGAATCTATTGGCAGAAATAGATTAGAATATGCATAGGTATGTTTTCATTAGCGTATAATCACCTGAAAATAAGATGAATTGTGTTTTAGTTACTTTAGACTGAGACGTTTTTAATCTACAGAGGGAGCAGGTCCTCTTCTACGGAGGCCGCCATGTTTCTACATTAGCCCGGAAGGGACAAACCAAACACTGGCAGTAGAGATGGCCTTTTGAGTTTTTTGCGGCCACCATAGTTTCTTCTACTCGCTAGAAGTGGGCGGGTGAGGCGAGGGTGTTGCAATCCTACACACTGGTCCTTTAAGGACAGGTTTTCCCCATCAACAAACACAATGCTTCACTTTGCTAGAAGTATTCTCCTGCTCTTAAACAAAGAGTAAAGCTTTGTGAACTGGAGTAATAAAGTTGCCATTTTACCCTGATGTTCTTGGACCTTGTCTGGACCAGACTTCCACTGCGAACCACAAACACTGGAGCCCCATTCACCTCGTTGTCCGCCTTGTGTCTCAGCCAATCCTCGTAGCCCTATGACGAAATACTTTCAATAACCAATCACATACAGCAACTGGTGATGCAATGCTGGCATGACTAATCTGTGATCAACGGATATAAAAAAGTTATTCCAAACACATTTTTTTATACCAATACCAAGTTCATTACTGGTTAGAAAATAAAGCATCATATATTTAACATTGTGAGTGAAGAAATTTACAAAAATGGTTCTCCTGAACAATTTTAATTCAACTACATTCTGAAAGTCGAAGCAGGATATCACAAGTCTTTCACTACAATTACTCTCATTTAAATTAGGCATGTATATTAGTTCCCCATTTTAAGCCCAACAAAGAGGAAGCTAAGTTGTGTTCTCACCTGTTTTATAGCAGTTACTGTGATCACAAAGAAGAGAGGCAGACCACTGGTGACTGGGGAAGTTGGGGTGTCTATCATTAACTGGAAAGACAAATACAAAGGCAGTGGTGGAGAGTTAAACAAATTGTAGCGGAAAGAAAACGACACCAGAGACTCAATAAGAGTGGGTGTGCCCTGCTGGAGAGAAAACAAGCTAACTAGAAAGACAACAAAGAGAAGTAGTGGCTCATGTGTCAAACAGGAAACCCCTACAACTTCCCTCAAAGGTAAACTGTTAAGAATTACACTCATACGCACATGCACACTAAGGGGAAATTAAAAGCTTCAGTAGGAACATTTACTGCAGCAGACACATGTCGGCTGGTTAATAAAATTTCACACATATTTTGCACAAATCTTCAATGATACACAAAATGAAAGCCAAGCCATCTCTGCAAATGCTAAAAATAATACCATTTAACTTTTGATTCACATATTTTCAGCAATTATTTTTGGGATATTTTTTAAAAGATTCGAGGAGGGGACGTTGTGGTTAGTTAGTTAGTTAGTTAGATAGTTAGTTAGATAGATAGACTTTATTAATCCCTGAAGGGAAATTGGGTCGTCATAGCATGTGGTTACGATGCCACTCCGCCCTGGTGTATATAAAACATTTGTTTTGCAGACTAGCTTATGAAAGCTTAAGCAGAGAACAAAGAGACACGGTGAACGTCCTCTTAGTGTTTCTATTATTACTTCCTGAATTATATTTTAACATTTTATTGATCCACATACATACCCTCCGAGCATATTTAAAACATTTAGTGGAAGGGTTAGGGTTGTTAAGGACTGTCAAGGTTGCCTATTACATCACCCTCCTCCCCCATAGACAATTTGGTTAAACCGAACTTTAAAATCCAAGCAGAAACACACAAGCTGCTCTGTGCTGCTTGACACGAGAGTCGTAGCTTATCTTATCTTAAGAAAATGAACTCAGCAGTTAGGCCTTAACGATGACAGCTTTAGGCGAGGGACATCAGACATATTTTTTGTTTATGAGAAAACTCCTTAGAGTACCTAACACAAACCAAAGTTTTATCTGAACATTTTACCAACAGTAACAAGAGACAAACTCTAGCATTAACTATAATGAGACCAAGACTTTTCTTTATTTCACAAGAGGAACAGGCATCTAGGAATCCATCAGGCCATCCAAAAGTGGTCAAATTGGCCATCTAAGAAAACGTCATGTTCACAACGTCAAGATGAAATGAGGTCCTCCTTTTGGTGATTTGAAACTAAGATGACTTCAGCTTCACTGACAAGTGGCGTGGGCGAAAAGAGAGACTGAGACAGAGTCAAGTCGATTGCTTTGGCTTCACTACACAGGCCCACATAAATAAGGAGAAGCCTGAAAATTTGAAAGCCAAATCCTACTTCAGCACACGCTGACTGATGCATAGTGAAGGCCTAACACTTAGGGCTGACTGTAAAGACACCCATAATACTTAATGTGTGGGTGTAATGTTTTAATACACAGGCAGACCTGTCTCTCTAGAAGTCGATGAGTCACTCACTCAGGCACATTTGTATTTAGGGCAGGAAAACTGAGGTCACACTTGACTCGTCACCATCTGACTGAAAAGAACATGTACCTGCAAAAATGAAATGTGTGTGTGTGCATTTGTGAGTGTTATTACCTGCACGAGGAAGATAATGAGAAAATAGAAGTTGGCTATCCTTCTGAACTGCTCAAACAGATTCTTAGGGACAAAATTCCAAATTGTGTACTGAAAAGAAAGAAAAAACAACATTTAGGACAAAGTCTAAGGAAAGGTTATTTAAGCAGAGTATCTGCAGGAGAGTATTTAGCGTGGCTTCAAAAAATGGTGATTCTGACATGTTGTCAACAGTCACCAGACCTGTTTTTGTTTCACTCTTGTTTTTCAGTTCATCACTTCCTGTACAGCATGCTCTAGAAAGAAAAGCTAACGGAAAAAAACATGAATGCACATTTTTTTTTTTTTTACTGTTACTGCTTTTTTCATGCTTTCCGTGCTTTACCAACCTGCTTTTACCTTATTAAGCTGAAAATAGTACACAGCTGCACCAATACTACCCTTGTTTTTATTTGAGCTGCTTGTTGCATGACTTCAAATCAATTTAATTCGAACCCAGGTGACTTAACCATACTGTCAATTACTTAATCAACTGCCTAATCAATGACAGCCATCACTGCTGGTGCCGGGCAGCAGCCTCTTTGGATTATTATTCTTTTGTTCAGACAATCTTCCAACCGACCTACTAATCCTCTCACTAACACAAAAGTTTTTTTTGTTTGCGTTGATCCTGTTATCAACAAATTGTGCCTCACTCCTTATCTCTTTCCCACCACACCGGAGCTTCAGATTAATTTCTTTAACACTGGTCGAGTTGGTGCCAGAAATCAGCTCATGAGGAGATACAGAGTTTCTGTAACACTTCCTCTTTAGCCATGGGTGCTGTCACTGCTCAGGCTCATGCTTCAAACCACCTAAATCTATGGCTAAAGATGCAGTGTCCCAACATGGTGCTTATGTGGTCATGAACACGAACAGTTTTTCTAAAAGAAATAAATCAAAGATCTGAAGATTCATCATTTTAGTTAAAACATTTTTCAAGACCAGAACTTTTCCCTTTTATTGTGTAGAGAATAAAAAATGTCTTTGTGACTGACTAACATGAAATCCTGTACTGATAACATCACTGGGAAAATCCCAATACTGGCTCAAACAACATTTGGTACCTTGGAGGAGATGATTCTGTTGTCAGCGAAGCGTTGTGGTACGTAGTGGCCATGCTGGGGGAAACGGTTTGCCACATAAATCGTCCTGGTTTCACTCTGATGAGGGGGGTCAAAGCCCTGAGGGAAGGGAGGATATATGAGAAGAGAGGGAGAGGGAGAGGGGTGGGGCAGAAAAAAGGGGACAGCAGGTTAACAAGTTTTAGTACACCCGTTCTCACTTATTTTATCTTTGCACAACTGACATAAACAACTCTTGTTTACAGTGACTTTTATGAGTAGAGCAGTTGTGCTGCACTTTAGTGTTGACCTTTAACCTCCATTAATGTACACTAGTGCGTAGCTGAGAGAATTTGCAGATTCATTTATTAGTCAACTGACAGAAATGACAACTACTTTCATAATCGTTTGGGTCACTTTTCAAGCAAAAATGCCCAAGATTTACTGGTAACAGCGTCTTACATTTTAATGCCGTGCTTTTTGCAGTTTTCTATCATTTAAACGGAATATTTTGGGAAATTGTGATGGGTTTTCACAATTTTTTAAACCTTTTTTAGGCAAAACAGTTAACTAAGAAATTACAATATCGTCTTATGTCGTATATGTATAATGTAATGTATTCCCTAGTGTAAATCAGACACTTTGTCAGTGAAAAATGCTAAACAACAATAACAAATACAATTGTCTTACATTAGTAAGGAGTACTTAGATTAAAAATAAGTCAAACTTACAAGCAATTGACTGTAATGAAGAATTGGATAGTGGAAGGGAACTGTATGACCTTATTTCATAGTCATTTTATACTGTTGGCACTAAGCAGAAGCATGACTAACCCCTGAAAGTCTACACCACACTAAAATCAACCTGGGGCAACATTTCATGCTTCTATTCAGTGTGGTTTCAGTGTCTGTGTAGTTGTATGTCTCTACGGGCCATTATTTGGTCTGGAGCAGCATCCTACAGTGAGAAACTGAGACGATAGCAGACTCTACACTGCTGCAACGTCACAAAGTACAGATGATTCTTCTCTTGCACTACAGATGTTTGTTACTGAGCGTTTCCATTCAATTCATTGTGTAGCTGGCTAAAACAAGTTTGACCAGCAACACAACTTGTTCATGAAAGCAAGAGAACTTATTTAAGGCCCAGCACTGAATTCAAACCAGACAAAAATAGAAGCCCCACGCATGTAATATGTGCACAACAACAAAAATAAAATACATTTAAACATGCCACAGCTCAACAGCTCGTTAATCAATGTTTAATCTCCAGCCTTGTCAAACCGTCTTACCCTGAACCACAGACATGAACAGTACTACACTGCAGCAGTTGGCCAGCAGGTGGGACTAAGAGGAACCACGATGACTCTTTTAAACTGAAATGGAAACCAGGTGTGGTCATTTCAGCGTAGTTAAACCACACACATTAAACAGGAGGTCCTAATTATGAATGTGATATCAATGTGTGCATTTAATGTTTGTCATTTGCCATCCATTCATCTGCAGGCCAACACCATGTCCTGTGACTGTCACACCCTACCGGTCTGCTCTACGAAATATGCTTCCAATCATATTTGCAAATGTTGTACGACGTAGGCCCGACACACATACGCACACACAGAGGAATGTAACCGGGCCACGTCACTCACTAGCACACACGTTCACCCCCACGTTCAGGGACACATGTGAACCATTACTTCCTTTCTGTTTCACACTCTCCAGCTCTCCGTCTGCTGCTGCTTTCCTTTTGTTTATTAAGTAAACGCACCTAACACTACGCCTGGAGGACAACGGCATGCTTGTTAGCCTGTAGCTGGTTTTTTAGATATCACTTTCTAACTTTCACACACACACACACACACACACACACACACACACACATATATATATTACTAAATTCACATATGTTCAAGGAGCCGTAAGCTGCTAAGAATTAACTCTGCACAAACACATGGCATGAAACCAGTGATCCACTTTTAGGAATTAAAACAATATGTGCAGGATTTTCCATTTGCTCACAGCTTTCAGAAGGTGGTCTACGTGAGAAAGGCTTCCTCTCGCTCGTGTCTAACTCTACACTTTCTTCATTTCCCAACCGACGCTGCCTCAGGTGAAATCACTCGCAGCAGTTTGTTAGATTTAGCTCTGGAGCCACAGCAGCATTTATGCAACTTGTTTTCACATATGCAGTAGCACTCGCCAAGACCAGTAAACAGGTCATTTAACAGTAATTACACCAGTACAATCAGTGGAGTGGAGGCACAGACCCTCAGCAGGAGAGCTGGATTTAAAACAACCAGTCTAACCAGTGTACCCGACCAGGGAAATGCAGCCAAGAAAAAGGAAGTTTCACAAATTCAGAGTAAATGAATGAGCCCTGGTTAAAAGTTCTCAGTGCATCCTGCAGCGTCACACTGGGTTAAACAGTAACCTAAGAATTCCTAACCACTGAATGGAAAGTTACGGGAGGTATCGAACATGTGACCATTTGTAACAGAAACACAACTCTTATCAGCGCAAAGGATTTTGTTCAGTTGACTTTTCTTTCCCTCGGTCTTTGAACTAAACTCTGTTCTATAGTTTAACGAAGGTCAACTGAGCACGCAAACAAGAAACCCCTTTAACGCAACATCCTGCATGACGGCTGCGCACACAGTCCTGCATTCAGTTCAGAGTTCAGTGCTGTAGGAAACAGCACCCTACCCAAGGAGGCAGTTCCGTTTGAACCCACATTGAGTCACTTGGGCTTTTAAATCAAGCGATACGGCCCGGGAACTGCAGACACTGATGGGCCAGGAAGTGAGTTTCGTAAGCCACATGTACCAAAGTTACTGTTGAGTCACTGGCATTGATCAATGACCGGTTACAAACCTGCACATGGATAATGGTAAACATCTTAACTTAAAGGGGAACTTGGCAACTCTAGCCATTTCTTCGCTGGTTTTCACTTTTGTTGTCGCATGTTTTCTCAGCGAGCTCCCCCTACAGCTCTGGA